AGTCATGGGAGCTCACAGTGCTCCCATCTTGGGCTCTGGGCTCATTCTTCTGATTCCCAGCACCTTCACAGTGCCTGGGACCTGAGAGTACCGTAACTGATGACCATGTATATACAATGCTCTCGGAAGAAGGAAGGGCAGGCGGGGGAGACATGGAATGTCCCGCTCAGAATTAGAATTACCAGAGATACAGCATGGCTGGAGATGGGATGGGGAGAGACTGTGAAAGGGGAAAATATAGCAGATATTGACCGGAACCCTACAGTACCATCCACCCTGGAATCCAAGGCCAGTTGACAATGGAAGGCGTCTGTGAAGTACTGCAATGCATCTGCTTTATGTTTAAAGCGCACTAGAAAGCTTCCCTCCACCACCTGTCATTTGGCCTACAGCCTTCTCGAGTACTTTAGTCCCTCCCTTCTCTTGCGGGAACCTCCCACAAGAGGATGCAGGTCGTCAGGTCCGTCTGTGCCACCCTCACGCTGCGCCATCTGCCATGGATGGCGACAGTTCCTGTGTCCAACTTCAACCACCGTCTCCACCCCGTCAGCTTAGCCTTCGCACAAACCCGACCGACTCTCAGCGTTGTTCTGCGCGCCCATCGTGTCTTCTTCCCTCCATTCTTCACCCAGCCTACGCTCCATGGTCCGTGGATTCACTGAAGTTCTTGCCCCAGTGCCGTAAGCTCCCTTGTCATCCTTCGGTTGCGCCACCCACCCTTTCTTGACTTCTGCTGTTGCCCACGGCGACCTCGGAGGTTAGCATTCCTCTTTTACAGGGAACCAGGGCTCAGGGAAGTGAATCAACTCACTGCCAGTCCAACATCGAAGGAGAGGTGGAAACAGAACTCGGCCCAGAGGGACTGGGCACTCAGCCCAAGCTCACAGTGAGGACTCGTCTCTGCCACCTCCCTGCCCACACCCGCCTGACCACAGCAGAAAGCCCAAGGACGGGGGGCAGCTGGCAGCAGACATTCCCCACGGGCCCAGAGCAGTGCCAGGCTTTTTCCGAGACCAGGCAGGGAGCAGAGCCACTGCAGCACACTCTGCTTCTCCAGAGGACAGCTGAGTTGTCCGGGAGCTGGTGCACGTGCATGACACAGCTTCGTCCTTTTGTGTCCCCTCCCCATCCCTCCCCTCCCTGTTCCTTCCACCTCTGGGTCCCTGCTCATTTACAAAACAGCTATCTCCATTTTTTTCCTGATTGTTCGTTTTCATTCCCTTTCCCTCCCCTTCCCTCCATCTCTTTGTTTAGACTTTGAGTTTCTCCTATAAGAGAGATCATGCGATATTTAAGCTTGTGTGCCTGATTTATTTCACTTAATATTATGGCCTCAAGGTGCATCCTTTTTCCTACTAATGACACAAGTTTATCTTTCTTTATGGCAGAGTAGCACTCCATGGTGTGTAAATATCACATTTTCTTTATCTAGTCATCTATTGATGGGCATATAGGCTGCTTCTCAGATTTAGCTATTATGAGTTGTGCTGCTATAAACATGGGTGTGCATGGATCACTGTAATACGATGTCTTTCACTCCTTTCCAGGAAGATACCTGGAAAGAGAATAGCTGGGTCAAATGAAATTTCTAGTTCAGGTTTTTGAGGTCACTCCATACTGATTTTTATAGTGGTTGTACTAGGTCACATTCCCACCAACAATGTACAGTGGTTCCTTTAACCCACAGCCTCGCCAGCATTAGTTATTTTTTGATTTCTTGATGATGGCCATTCTGTCCGGGCTAAGATGGAATCTCAGTGTTGTTTTAATTTGCATTTCTGTAATGGTCAGTAATGTTGAACATTTCTCACGCATTTACTGGCCACTTGTACTTTTTCTTCTGAGAAGTCCCTGTTCATTTTGTTTGCCCATTTTTTGATTGTATCTTATAAATCTCATTTAAGAGCACTGAATTGGTGAGGTGTAGGGAGCTCTTGTCAGACTGTTCATAAAAATCTAACAATTACATTTGAAAGACTGCCAGCCAAAATATGGATTCCACCACCATGATCGAAGACTGGGTGTCACGGCTCTGTTAAATATTTAACTTAAAAAAGGGGGACAGCTTTCCCCTAAACATCTGGCCAAGGAAAGACACGATGAGGTGGTCAAGTGGGAAGCGAGGTAACCAAGTCTTTCCTGCCTCTTCAGCCAAGGGAGGAGCTGGACACAAGTGAGAGAGGGCAGAGAGGGGAGTTAGGTGTGGTTAGAGTGTTGAGTGCTGGAGAATTTCACAGGCTGCAGCCTCCCAGGCTGGAGAAAATCCAGGCAAAAGCAAGCACACCTGACAGGCCTGGGGCATGCGGGGCACAGGATACAATGCCCTGTGTCCACCAATATGCAACAGCTATTGTTACTCCAAGACTCCAAGTCCCCAAGAGGAGGGGACACAGGTCCCGAGGCAGAAGGAGTGAGGGGAAAGTGTCAGCTGGGCCTTTGTGATAGTTTCCCCGGGAAGGGAAGGAATGGCCCGGCCAGATAAGCAGGCTTGGCCTTAGCTAGTTTTAGCCGTCCAGCAGGTCTGGGGGTATTGGGACTGTCCCTGGTTGTTGGATACCTAGCCCTGGGATGACAAAGGCAGGTGGATAGTGGCCCGACATGTGACAGCCCATTAGAGAGCTGCCTGGGCATGTGGGCTGTGGGTCGGCAGGCGTGCATTTGAAAACTGACCTCGTAAGTTGTTTGCCATTTCTAGCATTTAGGTCAACAAGAAAGTAGATGTCAAAGGATCAGCATACAGAAAATAAAAGTTACCTTTAATACCCTACCCAAGAACACAGCTATTTCTGAAGCCCACATGATATACTGCTCCCCTCCGCATCCCAATCTTATATACATACACGCACCCTGATCAGGTCTCTATATCAGAGGACACTCAAATAGACCAAAAAACTTACAGGACCCAGAGGAACGAGCTGAAAAGTAAGAACCAAGCCCCATATAAATACCAACCTATAACAGGGATAATGATAATAGTCTGTGCTTAATAGATGATGTTATTAAGAACATGCTGGCCCGGGGATTTAGCTCAGTGGTTCCAGCGCCTGCCTAGAAAGCGCAAGGTCCCGAGTTTGATCCCAGTACCGGAAAAAAAAAAAAAAAAAAGAACATGCTATGTGCATGGCACTGTGCTAGATACTCATGTATTATTTCATCTACTACATGACTTGTCCTCTTCAAACTGGGACCAATGAAAGGGTTTCTGTCGCTTCCCTTCAATCTCATCCACACACAACCTATTCCACTTCTGTGGAAGTGCTGCTATTAAAATTAAACTCACCGTAAAAATGCCATGACCCAGTATCCTGGTACCTGCTGTTCCTGCTCTCTCAAGAGCTCTGTGAGCCTCCTGGAACAGGCCGGACCTTCCCAGGAGGAACATCGAGATGAGAGGACAGAGATTAGCCAGCAAGGAACACAGTGTTGTTATTCAGTTCCTCCTCATCTTAGAGGCGGAACCAAGCGAATGACTGAGCTGTGTGGTGTATTATCACATCTCTGGGACACTAACAAGCTCGGAGTGCGGTAGAAACTGGCAGGACCCTCCTGTCATCTCGGGGCAGCACCTGGACCTCTTGTGGTGGCGTCTGTGCTGCTGGGTGAAATGTGGCAGGGGTTTGTTGTCACATCGAGTGTTCATTTGTTCTTGGAAATGATTCCCACACAATATCCAAAACCCATATATGAAATGCCAAACTCTCCTTGGTGACATTTTTCACCCTAAATGCTCTGGAATGAGGAAGGTAGAGGTTAGCTAATATATGTATTTAAATCAAGACGTCAGAAGTGGATTGAGACTAAAGGAGACTCATTCCCAACAGGAAGACACGTGCATTTACAAGGAGGTGCTGACCCAGAGGGCTGGTCCCAGCCTCCATAAACAAAACCAAGTTCTTGACAAAACAGGAAAGATTCCAAGTGTGAAGAAAAGATACAGGTTCCTTACTAGACTCGGAAGTAGACTTTCCTCAATACCCTCCTTATCCACTGTTAAAGAACCATGAACATCTGGCTATACTCGTGGACATCTGGGGATGTTCCCAGCAGAAAAAAAAAAAAAAAGGACGAATTTGTGAGGAAGTTCTAGAACAGGCTGTCATGGGACTCCATGCACAATGTGTCCTAGTCCTGTAGCTGCCACCGAAGGAACAGTGCTCCCTTGGGGTACAGCTGTGCCCACCTGCCCCGGGCCACTGCAGTCTCAAGACAGCCTGAACAAAAGCTTACTGAACACAGGCCAGCCAGCTCACTGTCCCCATGGTCCAGACACCTTTCCAAACACACAGGATGCGCACACTGATTTTCCAAAATATGCCTAATATTTCAATTTAAGATTGCACGTATTAGGTGGCCCATAAGAAGACACTATTGCTTTTAGAAATCTGTCTCTCTTCTTTTTCCTTACCAGTACCTATGGCTTGAGTGTGGCCCCCCTGAAATTTGTATATTGGAACTTTAACTCCCCCGACCGGGCCGTGTTGACAGGTGAAGATGGCCAGAAAGCGGGGGGGGGGGTCGTGAGAGTGGAAACCTCATGCAGGGATTAATGCGTTTCTTAGGGACATGGATCAGCAGGAATTCGGCCCATTTTCCTCTCTTCCCCACCGGCCTGTTTGTCCTTCTGCTTTCCACCCTGAGCTGAAGTAGCACAAGGCCCTCACCGGCGCCAGCACCGTGCGCTTGGACTTTCAGCCTCCAGAATCATGAACCAAAATAAACCTCTTTGCATTATAAATTCTCTACTCTCCAGCATTCTGTTAGAGCAACAGAAAATGGACTAAGACATGTGCACTGGATTTGTAACTCTGTCAAAGTTTTTCTGTTTTGTTTTTTTGGAACGGGGGATCAAACTTGAGACCCTGTGTTTTCGAAGCAGGCGGCAGCACCACTGAGCTAAATCCCTGGCCCTCAAAGTTTTTTGTTTTGGGGGGGTTTTTTTTGGTACCGGGGATCGAACTTGGGTCCTTGTGCTTGCGCAGCAGGCAGCGAAACCACTGAGCTAAATCCCCGGGCCAAAGTTTTATTTTTTAAAAGCCATTGCTTTGATCTCAAAGCTGTTCTCCAAAGGTAAACACCCATGTTCTCGTCTCCAGCTGCTGGTTCCCTGGGCTGTCAGCCCTGCTCCCCCTGGAAGGGTGCCTTCTGATCTTCCTGAAAATGAGTTTGAGGTGAGGACAAGGAGGGGAAACTTGGCTGCTGTTTCTCCTGATGCCGATGCCATTAGCTGTAAGAATCTGAAACATGCCCAAGGCATTGCCTTTTGACAGGCTATTAACAAGGCGGAGGACAAACTGGTCCTCTGAGATCAGAAAAGTTTATCACTCTGCAGACTGATCAAAAGTGGCTCCCAAGATGCAGAACGAATGAAAACATAAACAATTACGAAGAAGCCATAAACGTGAAGGATGGAGGACAGGGCCTAAGCGCTGCTGCTCGGTGTTTAGTGACTGTTCTCCGGCTCCTCTCTGCTCCTGGAACATCAGACAGATCCACAGCCCTAAAGGGAAGTCACGGAGCGACGCTGACATGCTCTGCCCCTTCTGCAAGTAAATTATGCAGTCGCTGAATGGATCACTGGACGCATGCATCTCACACAGCAAAGACCCAGCTCAGTTCGGGAACCAAACGTTATTTTAGTAAGTGTTAATGGCGCTGTACTCATTGCCAAGTTAAATCAGAACAAGTTCCTGCTCTCTGGTAGCCTGCTGCCTTTCAGAGACCCAGGTGATTTCCCAGAGGCAAGACTGCAGCAATAGGTGGGCTACAGAGGCAGGTCCTGGCCAAGGGGGAGAGGAAACCCACAGCTTCCACAAGACGCCAAGTTTAGCTGTCCTTAAAGTGTGCCGCGTGGTGTTGGCTTAGTCCAGAGCTTGTTTGCAAATGGCAGCTGGAGGCTCTGAGACACACATGGATTCTGCTACCCTGCGGGGCCCTCCCACCTCCCTGCACCTGTGCATCCATGCCCTCTCCTACTCTAGACGCTTGCCAGCCCTCCAGCCCAGGGTTAAACCCCAGCCTTACCTCACAGGCTCCCCCGTTAGCCTTGCTCATCCGAAGCCTCACTTGCTCCATTACGTTTCCCACAATGACAGCATTGTCTCCCCTGCTGGGTCTGTGTCCCAGTGAGAGCTATTAGTGCAAGAAACCCCGGTTACACTCCAGAAGCCTCACACGTGACTTAGTGCCCTAACATTTTATTGAGCACTTACCTGCTCTACTCCAGACACCACTGCACAGGACAGATGCCACCCCAGCTCTGAGTGCAGTCTATCAAAGAGCACAGGCACTTTATAAAGAGCTACAAATGTGAGCCAAGCATGATGGCACTTGCCTGTAACCCCAGCACTCGGGAGGATGAGTTTGAGGGCCAGCTAAGTAATGAGTTCAAGGCCATTGCCAGACCCTGTTTCAAAATAAAAATTACAAATGTGATGACAGCCAGGAAGGGCTGGCCATGGGAAAGGAGGGAGGTGGGGGAGGCCACCCCAGCCAGGGGGAGCAGGAACCCCAGGACAAGCCTGTCGGGACTTTGGACCTTATTCTATGAGCAAAAGGAAGTCACTGAAAGGCTCTAAGGCAGGCACAGAGCAGTCGGTCTGCTGTGTTCCAAGATGACACCAGGGAGCGGGAGGAGCTTCGAGTAGAGTTTGGAGGCTGGAGGCAGAAGCAGCTGCCCTAGAGGCCAGAGCTCAGGAGCATGGGCCAGATGACAGCCATGGTGGGACAGGAGCAGTGGTCAAGATGTATTCCCAGGCAGGTGTGGTGGTGCACAGCTATAATCCCGTTGGTCCTTGCAGGAGAAGGTTTTAAAACTCTTACCCTATACAGCCATGGGGTACTGGCACAAACAAGGTATGCTCGACAAATACAATGAAGATTTAAAGTTTTAAAGCTGTACTACAGCCAGGTGTAGAGACACACACGTGTAATCCCAGCACTCAGGAGGCTGAGGCAGGAGGATCACAGTGAGCTCAGGGCCAGCCCAGGCTAAAAAGTGAGACCTTGTCTCAAAAATAAAAATAAAACTCTATTACAATAAAAGACACATTTCAGTAATTCCCCTCAGAATCCTCTCTCTCGCTCCGGACACACTTATCCCACCATCCTGGCCGCTTCCTGCAGCAGCTCTGGAGCCCTCTCTCCTGAGTGTCTTTAGTTGCGCTGTCCCGGCTGCCTCCATGTCCTGAACCAATTCAAAACATTTCCCTTTCATGGTCATTTTCACTTTGGGGAAGAGCCAGAAGTCACATGGTGCCCGATCCAGTGAATGAGGTGGATGAGGCCACAACATAACGTTTTATGAGCTGTCTTTCCATTGGATGGCGCTCGGCAGCCGCAGTCACTAGGATTTTGATCACATCTCATAAGGACACTCACGTCACGACAGAGGACTCCAGAAATGCTTCCGAAAGTGGCAAGAACTATGGGGTAACTGTGTTCAAAGAGAGGGAGGATTTTGAGGGGCACTGACAGCACAGTGTCTGCTACTGTAATCAATTTTTTCAATTTTGACCTTCACCATCGCCCGCTCAGCTCATCTGGAGCCTCCGGAGAGTAGCCCAGCCATGGACTGCTGCTGCGTCCTCAGAGTGTGCTTCTCCAGCACCGGGGCTGCTCCCCGACCCTGAAGTCCTCCAGAGCCCCAGAAATGACCCTCCAAGTCCTTGGCTTTCCCAGCTCTCCCTCAGAGTCTGGGATTTCTCCATCTTGGCCTTCTTCCCACACAAGGGCAGGTGTTCCAGCCCCTTCAGGAAAGCCTGGGGAAGTATCCTGACCCGGTCACACTGCCTGGCAGACCCTGACAATCTCTGAAGTGCAGCACACATTTACCTGCTCTCGGTGGGATGGGAATCCTTCAGGTCTGTGCCTTCTGGAACTCCCAAAGCCTTTGGTTTTTCTCCAAAGCTTTGCACCTGTAAATGAAATTCCCGGTTTCCGGATCACTGTGGGCTTAAAGAGCGTGACTTAGAGCATGTCACAGCTGACGGACCCTCTTGTTCCAGCCTCTCTCCTCCTACCCCATGGAGTGTACATTCAGAGCAGCCACCAACCCTGGCTCATCAGAATCGCGTATCAATCACATTCCCAATGATTTCCCCCCACATGTTCATCCATCCCCCCAGGAAAACCCAGACTCCAGGAATAATCTAGAACCTAAAGTTTCCCTCTATGCTTTGGACCTCAGCATCAGCATCAGCACAGGCTCATCCTTAGGCTGAGTGATTTATCTCTAGGTCAGTCTATATTGGAGACAGTTCTCCACCACCTCCCCATCCTTCCCTTCAGAGTATAAGAGAAAGTAGATTCAATCAAGGCCAAGACCAATTTGGAAGGAGAACTGAAGAAATTTTGTTGGTTTTTTATCATTTAGGCAGCAGAATATGGACCAATCACCCTAGATTGTCTTCATGATAGTTGGAAGTTCATTCACTCATTAGCTTTTTATGAAAATTTAGGCCCAGTGGTGTGGAGCCCTTGGACCTCTCCCTCCACTTGATGGTGGACTTCTTGAGGTGAAGAACTCACCACCAAATCTTATCACCAAGCATAGTCTGGCACCTTGTAGGCATCCACAAAATTCTTGTCCAACTCATGAATGTATGAGTCTGTAGTTGACTTTGGTCCAACCAGCAGGTCAACAGCCCAGACCTTCACTACAACAGTCATAGCTGACTACAGAAGGTAACACAGAAGGGCAAACCAGTGCCTGGGCCACACAGACTATTTTAGGATACTGGTGACAACCTGGCTTGAATAATCAGAGGGCTTGTTACCTCTCACAAAAATGAAGTTCACAGGGCCGGGATTTAGCTCAGTGGTTTCGCCACCTGTTGCGCAAGCACAAGGACCCGAGTTCAATCCCCGGTACCAAAAAAACAAATGAAGTTCATGGACAGATGAGGCATCTCCTTGCAGGGAGCTTCCTCTGGCTACCTCACCTCACAGTTCCAATATGGCCACCAGTGAGCATCAGGGTTGTATGTGTCCTTGTTCATATCCTGGGGAAAGCTCTCTCTCATGCACTGGTTTTTAAATACATCCTGAATGGACCACTGACATCTCATGTGCTAAGTGGAACCTCAAAGTTCCACAAAGTTTTTCAAAGCTCTGGGTCCTACAGTCGTGTACTGATTAATGATGTGGAGAAGATACACGCGGAAACGCATCCTTGGGTGATCTTACTGTGCCAACATCGGAGCAGGTCCTTACGAAAACTAAGATGGCTCCAGCCCTGGTGAAATACTCCTACGGGACCATCAGTATATACGTGGTCTGTTGTGACCAAAATGCCATTATGTTGTACATGACTATGCTGGGAAGAAGGAGAAGAAAGAGATGTAGGGCAATGAAAATCCCTGACTGTCCACCTGTCTAATTCCTGTTTCTCTGGTCAAATTATTCACCACAAAAAATGCCAAACCTCCCCATCTGCCTTTCTACTTCAGAAAGGAAATGTGTCATCAGAAATTCCAGGTCTTTCCCGCCATGACACAGCCGGTCGTAACTCGAGGGTCCACTGTAATTCATCACAGGGGACTGTCCACCAGCTGCTTCATCACCACAGATTCTCTTCTAGTCCCAATACTGTCACTTCCTCTTCGTACTCTTCAAGTCACTTCCTGTCTACTTCCACATGTACTTACTTAGCCTGCCTCTGAGGCATCTTCCCCTCTGCAGCCAGAGCAATATTCCTATTTCATGCCCAGCTCTCTCCCCATTCCAGCATCCTAGCCCTCTTTAAGGTTCTTGAGTGGCCCGGGAACCCGCCTGCCACAGGCCTTCCTTCTGCAGGCCATGTCCCCCGGCCCTTACCCTATCCACCTACCCAGGGGCTTATGCTTCAAATCTCAGAGCAAAATCACATCCCGAGGGGCATTTCCACGAATTCCCACAGCAGATCCCTTTTCTATAGTCTTACAGAAGAAGCTGCTTCACACTGCATTTATCATGGTTGTGATTTTACATCAATTTGAATGTCTATCTCATTCCCAACAGTGACTCAAGGACCACGACCATTCTACCCCAGGGCACCTGGCACATCACAGGTCCTCAGCACATATGTGGTGAATGAATAAATGAATTCTTATCACCTGTGCCTTTTCACCCATTTAGTTATTAATAAATACTTACTGGGTATACTGCTAAACACAGAATGGTCAAGGCAAAGAGTTCCTGCCCATGGGAACCCCCAGTTCCAGACTCAAGAAAAACACAGACAAATATTGACAACTACAACCCTGCTGGGCAGCTCCAAACACAGAAAGGCACTCGAGGGACCTGTAATCCAGCCACCGTTTGAATTAATCCTCACTTCCTCCCCTTCTGTTTTCCCATAAGCCTCTGCCCGCTGCACGCCTGCACACATTTCCCCAACCCACACTCAGTTTTCTCTTCTGTTTGTTTCCTTCTGTTTTGTCTGAACCTGAGCTTCATGGGCTTCAGCAAGCCAACGAGTCCCTGACCGTTTGCAAATTCCTGCCTGTATATTTAGCTTAAGAGATAGGCATCCAGGAGTCTCACCAGATTCCCAAAGCATCTCTGACTAAATTTAAGAGCCACTGCCTGAAAAGTGCAGAATAATTTGGATCATTCATGAGGAGGGCTTCAGATCTCAAGACATCAAAGAGTACTTTGAAATGTTCAAAGAACAGCCGTGCATGAAGCAAGCCAGACCTCAGTAGCAAGACCTGGCCTCACCATGGCTCATCCCGCAGGCCTTTTGTTCCATAAAAGAGTCAACAAACCACAAAACACTACTGGAAGGGACAACCTGCTAGCCACTGCTGCAGATTCTCCAAGGACAGTCTCGTTGCTTTCTCGCTGCACACAGGAAGGAAGAGACTCGCTAGCGGGGCCCCAGCCGGAGCCCAGTATTGAGCACTTTAGTGTGTGGCCCTCAAACCTCCAGCCTGGTCACTGTTCGTCCACCGTGACAGTCAGGCAGACAGCCAGGCGGCAGCTTGCAGGTCACGCTGACACACTGGGCGCCAGACTGAAGCCTCAGCCTGTCAGCCTGCTGCTCCCACGGCTTGTGGTCATGGAGATCCAGTTTGCTGAAAAAGGAAACCAGCCGATTCAGTGATTTCCAGTTCCTTTAGCAGAAGGAAGCTGGTATTCAGGTCCTCATCCCAAAGCATTCTCCCCGTGGGGAGAGGGTGGAGAACAAGAATGTGCCCAGGAGAGCTAGAGCAAGTGGACAGAACAGGGGAGAAAGCATGGCAGGGAAGGAAATGAGGCTTTTCTGAAGAAATCTTTTTAGCCTGGCAAAATTTTTGAACCGTTTAATAAATCTACACATTTAAAAAAAAATGACAAAAGCTAATCCTAAAAGAAATACAAAACAGAAACAAACGATCCCAACTAGTTACCCAATGGATAACATAACCACATATTAAAAAAAGAATGAGTTCAAGTGACTTTTGAGCACAGTACTTTGATTGTATGAACTCCATGGGAATATTCTACGATTACAAAGCACGTTGCCATGCTACCTCTTCAGTGTATGGTTGATGGTGTCAAAAGAACACAGAGCAGCTGTAGAATTAACAAAGGGCCATTTATTCAGATCATGCAAGGAAATCTGCTACCATCAAAGTCTGCTACTTGGAAAGGACAATGGGTTTATGGAGTAAAGAGCAGAAGTCTTAAGATACTCTTGGTGAGTGTTCCATTAGAGTAGAATTTTTTGGAAACAAGGGAGCTTTCTGACTTTCAGGTGCATTGGGCAGTCTCTGATTGGTCCTCAAAAATCCTGGCACATACCTTGGGGCTTTCTAGGCTGCATACATAGGGTCAGGTGGATTTTCCTCTCTCAACTGGAAGAACGTCTGGTCCTTGGCTTTGAGGTCTGAGGCTTGTATAACAATTCCTGTATTAATTCCAAAACAGTTGCATGTGTTTTTTAGAATAGAGCCAAGGACAAATACATAGATTTTTAGGGGAACTCAGGTTTTCAGTATTAGAGAAAAGAGATAGAAATATAAAATGGAACAAATAGAGGAAAAATCTGTCAGTTTGAGGTTTGACTTGAGGGCATCTCATGATTTCTTATAAAAAGAATGAACATTGCTTGGCATCTCCAGGCAATTTTCCAAAGACAGGAGCAGCCACTGCCCCTGTTCTTGGGAAAGACTAAACAGCATTTGTGTGGAGGGCGAGGTAAACAAGGGTGGGCTAAATGGAGAGCTGGTAAGGAGCACACAGCAGATAGGAGGGAAAGGCAGTTTGCAAATGGAGGTCAGGGGCTGTTGGCAACAGAGTTACCCCCAGGACACTGTGGCTACAATCCTCCTCTGAACTCCACTTTATTCACATACTACACATCACTGTGGTTGATATACGGTACCAACCCCTAAGTGTGGGGCGCTATGAGAATTATAAAGATCAAAATCAACACATGGTCTCTGCCTCCGAATATAGAAATGAGACCGTAGGTCTCCCTGAGAAAACTGGCTCCACCCTCACTGAACCCATTCATCTGCTTGAGCTGCCATGACAAAGTGGACTGAATTGACAGACATTTCAGGCCAGAAGTCTAAGAACAGCGCACCCCAGGATCTGCTCTTGGTGAGGCGCCTTCCTGGCTTCTGGCTACTGGCTTCTGGCTCTGTGCCTGGTCCCTGCTGTGCTGTCTCCTCCTCTTCCTGTGAGGACAGGATTAAAGGGTTACACTCTACCCTTCTGACTTCCTTAGCCTTAACTATCTCCCTAAAACCCAGTTTCCAAAAAGTGCCACACCGGAGCCAGGACTTCAAGCTATGAATTTTCAGGGCAGACACAGTGTAACCCAGAGAAGTTATTTAGCCTTCTCTTCACCTTAGTTTGCTCACCTGTGCAACAAAGATCATAGCCACATCAACCCCAGAAAGCTGTCGGAAGGACGAAGTGGTTGATGCACATAAGCACCCAGTGCCTGGCCCACAATAAACAATAAATAATACTTACTGCTTTAATAAATCCATCAAGTATTTAATAAATACTGTTTATAAATCCATCAAGTACTTGGAAAGAGTAGAATGAAGTGTACAGATGTAGAATGTCTTTTAAGAGCCATTTCTAAATGAACTTTTCAAATGTTTTTTGCATGACTGAAAGTGAACCTGGTGGGCCAGCCCTCCAGTTTGGGGTAACAAATGAAACACAGATGTCTGTTGAAGAGATTTTTACCTTGAGCACAAGTCAGGGACCACACTTATCTAGATGATCAGCAACTGGCAGAATCGAAGAAACCAAAGTCAAATTTATACTGGAAACAACACTAGGCTGTTTCTTTTTGACACTGGGCTTGGTAAATTATCAACATTATTCCCCCAGGCAAGTTCTACCTAGGATAAGGACAAAGACGAAAGAACCAGAAAATACCACACCCTGTAGCCTGGCATTTGAGATAAAATAACAAAACTTCTATAATCGATTCTCTTTTTTCAATATTGGCAATAGAGTTTTCTGTTGCTTTTTTTTTTCTTTTGATACTGGGGATCAAACTCAGAACCTTGCACTTCTGAAGTGGGCAGCATGTTGCTTTTTGTTTGTTGGTTGTTTGGTTTTTTGAGCCAAGATCTCACTGTGTAGTTCAGGCTGGCCTTAAACTTGGGGCAATCCTCCTGCCTCACTGGTTACAGGTGTACGCCACCATAGCCAGCAGCGACAGAGACTTATTTTGCAGAATTCAAAAGTGGTGAGCATGGTTTCTATCCATTTTGTCTTTTCGATCTCATGTTCCAGGTGATGTTGATGCACTGTCTAACTGACTATCCCACTGGCTTTACCCAGGGATCTCTGAGACTGGCCCTCGTCACATTGCTACTCTGCACACAAACCCCTCCGGTCATAACTGTCACTGAATCTAAAAATAGGGCTTTTCCTATTAAATCCTGACCTTGCAGGACCCGTGCCAGTGTTTGTCACAGATCCCTCAGCTGTGTCTCAGGTTCTTCCCCGGCTCCTCGGATGGGTCCCAATCACCGCCATGACAGGTTCTCCCCCTCCACGCTTACTCTCCTCATGGCTTATCAAGGAATGAAACAACCACCCGAACACGGGCTGTTTCCACACACTTCGTTCTGAGTTAACTCTTGGAAGATCAACTAGGGCTCCAAACAGAGAAACTCTCCGTGGAGAAATTGTCAAATGAAGCAATTTTTAGAAAACACACTACACACCTTTGGGGAAATAACTTTGACCAGACAAGACTGTGGAAATCAAGCAGCCTCCTGCGGTGGTTAGTTTTCTCTGTGAGTGTGACTGGGCTACCAGTTACCCAGACAATGAGAGACTCACCATTCCAGGATGTGTCTGTGCGGGCTTCCCAGAGAGACGAGTGTGACTCAGAGGAAGTGGAGAGGATCGGCCCTCACCAGCGTGGGCAAACAACATCTACTCCACTGGGCCCCGAGAGATCAGGCAGGCAGAGCAAAGCGGGATTCGCCCCCATCCAGAGCTGGACACCCTTCTCCACCTGCACTCTGATCTTCAGTCACTGAGGCATCCACCAACAGCTCCTCCCTCCAAATAGATGAACAGTTAACAGTTTTGAACACACCAAACTGCAGGGCCTCCGTACAGAAGATAACAAGCAGGCTAATGTTCCAGCAAAAGTGGAATTCGGTGATTTGTGAAAACACAGTATGTGAGCTGAGTGTGGTGGCACACGCCTGTGATCCTAGCACTTGGGAGGCTGAGGCAGGAGGATCGCCACAAGTTCGAGGCCAGCCTGGGCTACACAGTTAATTCAAGGTTACTCTGGAAATCATAGCAAGACCCTGTCTCAAGAAAAAAATATTTATATAGTATAAGTACAAGATAATGTACAACACAGATTGTGTTACCAATATAATAATAAAAACTGTAACTTGACCGCTCCATTTAAAAGCTAGAAAGTTACTACTCATTATACCTATTTCTGTATTCTTCCCAACTCCTATATAACTACTTGCTTTTCACAATCCATTGTTCTCTTTAAAAAGTAATTGTGATTCTCCTTAAATGATATTATTCACTGACTTATACTTATTTTAACCATTTTCTATTTCTTCTACACTACTTGCCTTTTCACTCAAGATTGTCTTTAGGATTCACCCATAGTGTGCCCTGCACATATACTTTATTCATTTTTATGTCTCAAAATTCCACAGATGTGGCTGGGTGTGGTGGTACCTGCCTATAATCCCAGTGCTGGGGGAGCTGAGGCAGGAGGATGGCCATGAGTTCAAGGCCAGCCTGGGCTACATAACCAGACTCTGTCTCAAACATAAAATGAAATAATAAAATAAGATTCCATGACGTGAATATACAGCACCTCTGCCAACTTATGACTGACAGTACTGCTGTGAACAGTCAGTGGGTGTTTCCTGTTACCCATGCATAGTTACTAAGTATGTTCTGAGATCTACTAGGTTAAGTCTCTGCAATTTATTCTTCTCCAGCAGTATTTTGGCTCCATTTCTTTATCATTTATTAACCTAATAAATCCATGTTTTAAAATAATTTAAAAGCAGGGCATGGTGGTGCACGCCTGTAATCCCACCACTTGAGACACTGAGGCAGGAAGATCGTCATGAGTTTGAAACCAGCCTGGGCTACATAGTGAGTTTAAGAACAGCCTGAACTACATAGTGAGGCCCTAGCTCAAAAAACCAAAAATAAAAATAAAAATTTTTTAAATTTAAGAAGTGGTTTGTTGGAATTACATTGATTCTATAAAGCAATTTGGGAGAAAACTGACATCTTTAGGGTGTTTTTAACCAGGCTATCCATAAACATATATATCTCTCTCCTTATCTAAATCTTCTGTACTGTTTTCCAACAGATTCCCCCTCCTCCTCCTCCTCCTCCTTCTCTCTTGTGCTGTTAATTGAGCCCAGCGAGGAGCCCCGTCCCCAGCCCTTCTTACTTGATCTTTCAATTTGTTCATATGATGTATTACACAATCCGCTTCCTAATGTTAAACCACTCTTGCATTCCTAAGAAAAACCCAATTTGGTCGTGATGTATCTTTTCTTTATAATCTGTTGGATTTGGTTTCTGAACATTTTCTCTAGGATTTTTTTGCACCATGCAATGGATATGGGCTTAACATTTTCTTTCTTTTTTTGTCTCTTCTTTTTCTTCCTAATACTATATTTTTGTGGGGGTTTTTGTTTTGTTTTGTTTTGGGTACCAGGGATCCAACTCGGGCCCTTGCACTCACGCAGCAGGTGGTGAAACCACTGAGCTAAATCCCCTGCCCACTAATACTATATTTTTTACTTTACTATTATCATTATTATTTTTATTTGCCTTATAAAATGAGTGGAAAATGATCCTTTTGTATTTCTTGGCGACATGATTATCATGATCTCCCCCTAAAATGTTTCTTTCAACTTTTCTTTAAAATTGACTGCACTTTGTAATTTCTTTATGGGAGTCTTTTAATCACTGGCTCTGTGTCATATTCACTTATTACAGCTTTTCATTTTTTACTAAATATCAGTAAGTTATGATTTTAAAGCATTGTCCACTTCCTCTCTATGTTAAAAGTTATGTGCAGCATCCTCTTGTGCTGGGCCCTGCAATTTCTGTGGTTACATCTCCCTTAGCATCCCCAATACCAGCCCTTTTTGCCTTCTGTATTTTTTACTTGACCAACCTGATCGGAGCTTACTCTCCAGTTTCCCTTCCAGACCCAAGGAGCAAACTCAGTACCTGTGACCCCAACCCACCCTCCTCCGGCTCCAGGCAGTTGCCTAAGACGTGTCACTGCTGACAGCCGTCACCCTGACTCACTGCCTGGCTTCCTGGGGTGGACACGAGGCCACAGCATGACCTTCATGAGCCCTTGCTGACCTTGCCCTTGTGGGTCCCTTACTCTAACAAAAAGAAATTTAATTATATTTTATACTTCTGTTGGTATAAAGATGAGTATATTAACATTTTCTTCTAACAAAAAGTTCATTTTAACTCAGATTTTAATTTTTTTGGAACTTTTGTTGTTGTTGTTGTTACCGGGGTCCTTGCGCTTGGGCCGCAGGCGGTGAAACCAGTGAGCTAAATCCCCGGGCCTTAGATGTTTGGGGGGGGGGGGGGGTACGTACCAGGGATCGAACTCGAGACCTTGCACTTTCGAGGCAGGAGGTGGAACCACTGAACTAAATCCCCGGCCCTTAACTCAGATTTTAAAATAAATTAAAACACATTCATAACCCCTTTAATGTCTCACGAGCCCCTGACTCTGCGCCTACTTTTCTAAAGGAGAAGTCAGCCTTGAGTGAGTGAATGGAGGTTTGCTTCCTCGTGGTTTCATAACAGAGATCTTTGATTGACCCCAGGAAAGGTACACAAGTGGCCCCTCTCCCCCGTATCTTGGAGCGGGTGGGTTGTGCCCCTTTCGTTTCTAATAGAAGACAGGGAGAAGGTCCGGTCCCTTCTGTGCCTTCACATTTGCAAGTCCTGATCCTGGGCTGCCCTGGTCACGTGGTATTTTGTGCAAACTAGAGAAAGACTCATCCTTATGAAGAAGAAAAGTCGTTAGGGGTCAGAGCCACGCCTGGGTGTCACGGCCGGGTGGGAGAGGTAGCTCATCCAGCCTCAGCTTCAAGGCAGCGGCGGGTGGGTCGCCAGCCAGACTTCACTCTAAGCCTAGGACCAAAGAACTGCAGGCTGTCAGGCCCCGGGCAAAGCGTCTGGAGGAGTTGAGTGGCCACAAAGCACCGCCACACCCACGCACGCACGCACGGGGCCGTGTGCGTGCGCACACTCGCCTGCCCGGTGCCGGGAGTGCAGGCCTGGGTGGCTCTCCCACGGCGCCCGCCCCCGGCTCCAGGCAGCAGCAGAGACACCGTCGCTGCGGCGCCCCCTGCCGGCCCCGGTCTGCACAGCCGCGTGTGACCCCGGCCTCACTCTTTCCCCGGCTCTCCTCTCCGCAGGGATGACGTGCCAGGCTCGGAGCTCCTACATCACCAGCGAGATCCTCTGGGGTTACCGGTTCACCCCGGTGCTGACGCTGGAGGACGGGTTCTACGAAGTCGACTACAACAGCTTCCACGAGACCTACGAGACTAGCACCCCATCCCTCAGTGCCAAAGAGCTGGCCGAGCTGGCCAGCAGGGCGGAGCTGCCCCTCAGCTGGTCTGTGTCCAGCAAGCTCAACCAGCACGCGGAACTGGAGACGGAGCAGGAAGACAAGAGCCCCGAGGAGCAAGCGGAAAGGAATGGTGACGTGGCGAACCTAGAGGACGAATCCAAAGTGTAGGCCCTTGCCGGGCAGCCCCTTCTAGCAGCTTCCGCCCCGGGCACAGCCTGCCTGTCTCTCATCTCCTTTCTCGTCTGTCTCTCGTACCTCGTGCTTTATTTACTTATGTTTGATTTTGCCATTACCAGAAAACCAATCTTCAAGGTGTAAAATATCCACCTGCCCTCTCTCAGTTGTTCAGTTTGACAAGGTAGACGTGGATCGGGTCACAATGCCACATGCCCGCTTTTGTGGCTCAAGCTTGATCTCCTCCCAAAATACCAACTTTTAACTTCTAGGGATCAAAGCCACTTTTACCTGCATGTGTTGTACAATACCAGGCCACTCAAAAGAGAGTGTCAAAGATTTTACCTGGCCCGTGACAAGTATGGTCACTGGTGCCTATTTATCTCAAAGTAAGTAGCAGAGCGTGGCCTCCGTTTTATAGATCCCAACACGTTTATCTACCACAGGTGAGGGGCTTGTCCGCATCGGTACAGCAGGCATAGGACCTAGGTGAGCTCAAGACAGACAAACCCTGTACATACATTTGCCTTATGAAATTATTTTCTTTTGGCAATTAGAAATAAAACCCAGCATGTACAAAAGAACTGTAGAACAGAACTTCTAAATAATGTACATAGATGTACCATTAACGTAATTTTAGATATATAACTTTAGAAATAAGAAGAAAAAAAAGATTCCCAGCGTACAGTAGGCATTTCTGTTTTGATGTCTGCATTTTCCACATTATTTAAGGCATGGCCTTTGTTCTGGGTCCCTGCCTGGCAGCCCTTAGGGTACTTCTCTGTCCCTCACGGATCCTTTTGTTAAATCTAATAAGCCATAGGTCTGGTGGCAGTTGAGAGGTCTAGCAGACGGCAGGACCCACCACCAACACGCTGACATACTGTGATACGTTTACAAAGATAACAAGGGCCTCACGGATCTTCCTGGGAGAGAAGGCCAGGCACAGGACACCTGGGGATGTCACCAGTGTCCCACTGCTGCTGTTCACATGAGCTGTTGCCCTTTGGAATACAACAGTTTAGGAGAGTTTTATGTAAAACCACTGAGTCTCCAACTGTTCCACCCTCAATCATGAGAAACCACCGACTGTTAAAAGGTGACGTGGTAAGTTAGCAGAAGATGGTCTGGGCCTAACGCCATGAAATTCAGGAAGGCGGGTGGCAGGTGACAGATTGTGTGCACTGGTCTCTCAAATGCTTTGGCTCCACCTGGCGCTCTGAGGATGAGATCTTGCCTGTCCCAGGGGCCTATTCATCAGTATTTCTTGAATTGGGATTTTTTTTTCTTCTTCCTCTTCCTCTTCCTCTTCCTCCTCCTCCCCCTCCCCCTCTTCTTCTTCCTCTTCCCCTTCTTCCCCTTCTTCTTCCCCTTCTTCCTCCTCCTCTTCTTCTCCTTCTCCTTCTCCTTCTTCTCTTTTAGTTTTAAATGACCAGAGTTCACTGTTCAAAGACTAGATCAACAATTTTGGTAACTGTCTAAGAATCTCTCTCTAGAGTGTGGCATTATTTAAAAATTGAATCCAAAGTGTCTTTTGATCAAAAGAGAACAAACAAAAAATGGTAGCCTTAATTCATTTTAATGTGCAAAGAGGAAAGAAGGAAGGGAGGGAG